ATTCACTGATCAAAGAATGGTAAAAAAGTATAGGAACTAGAAGATAAAACGGTACTATACATTTTACTGTTAAACCGTTCTTGAGCTCAATAATAATATTTTACAAATGTCAAAATATAAAACAGTTCTGTGCAGAAAATTATATTATATTGTTACATACAATTTATCTTTAATTTTAATTTGCGTAATCTTCATCTTTATGTATTGATGTTCCTCGCTTTACGAAGGTTCGACATACGATATTTTGACATTACGATGGTGCGACAACGATGCACCCTCAGTGTCTATAGCGATCGTGAGCACAAACATTTCATACAGTGCTTAGCAATGTAATACGATACCATTACGATGATGTGTGACGATTGTCTAAATCAGAGTGAGAACCACAAGCTGGCCATTAATTGGCTGTAACGGGCTACATTGATCTTTTTAAAAGGTATGCTCCCACAGATTACCGGAAATGACAGTTTAGGTGGAAACGCGCTGGTGTTGATGAACCCAGATTGGTTCTAACGTTCAAAGGACATGCATAAACGAGTCTGTTGTTGTTGAAGAGGACTTTTATCATTAGAAACATATGCATATAACTTCTGTTGTGTCAGAGGTTATAAAGCAATTCGGAATGGAGAATAAAGTTGCGCGATCGGTCAGTGTCTCCTCCCATCCTCAGACCAATTTTCAGTGGGCTGACCGAATGAACTCTCACTGCAGCAAACCAACTTAGGAGGCTGTTACATAGTCATAGCGAAAAATTACCACTTTGGACTTAGCAGCAGGAAATCAGATTCAGTCCACACCGGTACTGACCGATTTCCACTCTTGACTTCAGTATACACACAGAGGCCTTAGAATCAAGGGTCGGTGTAGTCTTACAACATAACCCGATGTAACGACTCATTCTGATCATTCTCTACACCGGTATTGGAGCAAACCAATTAATTATACCACTTTATAATACTACCAGTAATTATACCACCAACAGTGTACCAATTGGCGAGTAATTCCTCCAGACAGTATAGTATAGCTTCAATGTTCATACTTGCCTATTACGGTTATTTAAGAAGGACATTTCACTAACGAAGAAGATGATGCAAGATGCACCAGTCACTACAGTTTCGCCAATACGGTGAAACCATGACCAGCATATATTACCCAGATGTGAGTGGAGCAGGGGAACAGTAAAATACGCAGGAAAATCTGGCTGTGAAGATGTTATGCGTTCTCTGATATATCTCGGCGAAAAAACGTTTCGGTGTCAATTCGGTATCATACGTAATATGGTCATGTTCTGAAACTCGTAACTGGGCTGTTGAAAGTATCACAACAGCTGTCTCGAAGATGAAACAGTGCTACGGTTGCGCAAGCTGCATTAAATAGATATTTAATTTTTTGGCTAAAGGGCGTCTACTGTTAACCATAATTAGTATATATGCATAGCCTTATCCCGTATATATTATAATTTCTATGTTATACATTGAAACCAAGCTTCATCGGTTCGGCTCCGTGAAAAGAACATTCCACGAGTATGTTGGAAATGTGATCAAAGTACTGAAGCTGCCAGGGAAGAGAAAAAGAGGAAGATTGACGAGGTGGTGTGATATAAAATTGGGAGACGTGACCGAAAAATGTGGCGGCAGTTGACTCGAATAGCTAATTCTTGACCCGGAATACACCGAGAAAAAAGAAAGCATATAATTTTTGTTATTAATGTATTCCCTGCAGTACCTTCTATTGATTAATCAATCAAGTGAAAATTTGACCATATGATGATTTTTCTTACTGAATAGAACCAATTAAACGGAGCTATTTTTATATTACATAATAGGCATTGTATGCACAGTTTTTATTATATAATTATTATTAATAACTCTGAAGAGTGACAGAGGAGTTCAAAACATCAGTATCTCTACAGAACGTTTATGATTAA